TTAGTAAACAAGCCTTCAACTGTTCCATTGATTGATGAATTCGTAACATGCCAGGGTACACTATTACAGTTGATTTCTGAAATTTAAAGGAAAATAATATTTTAAATAGGTTTGATTTTATGCATTTATCAAAACCGTAATAACTCACATTAGACACAGGCCATGCATTTCTATTACTTTGTTTTCTTTTTTTGCATAAAATCAGTTTTTAAAAGTCTATTAAGGTAGAGGCTGGTTTACTTACTAGTCACTGTGTCACCACGGTAAGGAGTGCTCAGGACTCCAGAGAAGGTGGTGGTGATGCTGAATGAATACTTTGTTCCAGGCTTCAGATTAGTTACTGAATATGATACAGTATTTTGATCATTTGGATTAATTTCCATATCATTGTCATTAACTTTTAGCTGGTATTTCCAGTCTTTATTTTGTTTATCCCACTGTAGAGTGACCCTGTCCTCAAAGCGCTCTGTAACGCTGACTGAGGAAACCTGTCTGGGAACTGAGGAAAAGAAAACAGAGACATAATGTTTAATTACCTGCAGTAATAAAAATGAAAGGTAAGTTTAGACACTGTATTAGTAAGGAGTTCTGGTTTTCTTGTGCCGTATTAATTAAAAATGATTCACAATACATAAGAATGAAAAAAAATACCTAGCTTTTTTTTTTTTTTTTTTTTACAATCCTTAAGAATAAATGTTAGTATTTCTAAAACTGACCCTGTATTCCTCTGTGGGGATTCCATATAACATAATATCTTACCAGTAGGTACAGTTATGTGTCCCACTGCCTCCCGTATAATCAAACACACTGATGAGCAGGAAACCATACAGTAGCATTCTTCCCACTCTCCAGGTGTAAGAAAGTGTGTGTAACATGTATTGTCAGTTATTGTCCTTTTATTAAAGGAAACTGTGTACTCCTGGATGTTTTTTACTCCTTTCCACTGCAGAGTTATACTGGTCTCAATCTGTCCAGCTTACTTTAACCCTGCTGGGTTCTCAGTTTTTTAGTGAGAACTTTCCCCTACTTTGAAACTTTTACTTCGGGTCTATATGATCTATATGATCAAAACTTATTATTATAAACAAACAACAGTCCTCTTACCGGTGACTGCAGTGATGTTTTTTCCTCTGCTTCTGGCATAATCAAACACAGTAAAGAGAGTGAAGCTGTATCTAGTGCCACTGGTCAGATCTGGGACTGTGTATTTTCAACCCAGTCTCATGGGAAAATGTACCTCCACTACGTTGGTCCACACTGCAAAACGTAGTGGAGGTACTGACCTCCTTTCTATTCTAGGAAAGGGTATAACTGTTGATGTCCCTCACTTTGGTCCACTGCAGAGTTATGCTGGTTTCTGTATGTGTGAACTTTTCAAACTTTTCAGAATCAGAAGGAACAACAGAAGAATAAGAAGAAATAGTAGCACGTTTTACTCCTGAAAAAAGGGTAGTTGCATGATTAATGAAATAAGGTTTGCAATAAAATTGGTCTAATTTTACTTTTTCGCCTCACAAAACCCCATAAGAAACAAAAGAAAATTATAGTAAAAATTACATTGGTAACAAACTAAATAACATTATTTTCACATTAATTCTATTAATCAAACCAATCACTCTTCTTGAGCAGTTAGAGCAGCAAGCAGTAAAAATGTTAAGGAGAACAAAAAAAAAAAAAAAATGCAACAGAGATGATACAGTTTCTCCACAGCTAGAATTGACAGCACAGTATATTGACCTTTAATTGTAATGTTCAGCAGGGTCCTTCAGCTTCTCTGCTTCCATAACTTAACTGTTGTTTATGTTCACTAAGGTACTGCAATAATAATTAATTCCTTCTTGTCTTGTTTTTTTTTTTTCCTATTCTATTCTTTTACATATGAATCATTTTCACTAGTCTTTTCCCTACTTTGACGGTTATTTGTGTCATACTTCAGCTGTATCTATGTTGTCTATATTTATTTAATATTAAAAGAATTAACAGAAAGAGCACCAAATATAGAAACTATTGTAAAATTATTTTTGCAAGGAGGGTGTCCTTTACTTATATAACTTTTTTGTATGTTTACAAGTACAAAATAGGTATAGAATGATCTGAAGAAAGAAATTTGCGAGATTTTAGAAAATATTGCAATAAATATTTTTCTCAACACATTTTTTGTGTTGTCTTTTTTATATAAAAAAATCGTACTTAAGCACTATTGTGAACAAACAGACAACAATCATCTTACCAGTGACAGCAGTGATGCTTATTCCTCTGCTTGTGGCATAATAAAACACAGTGAAGAGAGTGAAGCTGTATCTAGTGCCACTGGTCAGACGTGGGACTGTGACTGTGTAAATTCCATTTTCTTCAGAGTAAGTTTCATCAACCTTTGTTCCATCATTGTAAAGGGTATAATTGTTGATGTCCCCCACTTTGGTCCACTGCAGACTTATGCTGGTTTCAGTTTGTGTGATATGATCAAAGTTTTCAGTATCAGAAGGAGCTACACAAGAATGAGAAGAAATATTAACAAAATGTTATACTGGCCTGGAAAAAATATTAGACCACTCTTGCTGCTTTTTTTATTGTATATTTTAGATCATATTGCATTTAGAACAAAAAATAAATAAATAAAATAAAAACCATTGATGTTCTAATAGATGTTCTAATGCTACACTGCACTTCTAAACATGTCAGAAGGCCACATGCAGATTTAACTCATTAACACAATCACATATTTTATTTTCCTTCCTTCCTTCCTTCCTTCCTTCCTTCCTTCCTTCCTTCCTTCCTTCCTTCCTTCCTTCCTTCCTCACTTGGTTACTTACTTAACAATAAAAAAAACAGAAGAAAACAAGGAGTAAACAGAAAATTTTTCTAACTGAAAGAATAAGTGATGTACTTAAACATTCCTTCAATGTCAGCTAACATCACAGACAACAGATATATAATATTTTATTCAATTGTTGAACTGACTTTTATTGGTAGAAATCATTTTAAAAATAGAGGATTAAATGTTGGCCTCTGGTTCTGATATTTCTTATCATATTAAAAGATACTTTCATCGCACTTAAACATATCATGTATTGCATTTCATCATTTAGAAAAAAATCACCTACTACTATAAAAAAAAATAGCTTCCTCAGTTTAAGTAATTTGAACTATTTTAGAATCCCACAGTGTTAACGTGTGAAAATATTAAAATAAACTTATTTTAAAAATGTAATCAAAACTCTCAATCTCTATAAATCAGGTTGAAAAGAAAATCTTCTGAACATTCTTAGATCCTTACAATCTGTCTTATCTTGATTCATATGAGCACTAAAAGATCACCTACCTGTCACAGCAGTGAATAAAAATCCAGAGCTGCTGATTCCATTGAACACAGTATAAAGAATAAAACTGTATCTTGTCCCAGCAGTCAGANTGTTGCAATGTTTGTTAATTATTTTGAATCCACTTTCTTTGTTATTTTCACTTTTATTCTTTTACATTTGGAATGTTCTTTTAATGACTTTTCCCTACTTTCAGCGTTTTTTGTTTTTTTTGTTTTTTGTCGTAATTCAGCATTGTTTATATTACATATAATTATTAGCAACAATCATCTTACCAGTGACTGCAGTGATGCTTTTTCCTGTGCTTCTGGCATAATCAAACACAGTGTAGAGAGTGAAGCTGTATCTAGTGCCACTGGTCAGATCTGGGACTGTATATTTTCCATTTCCTTCAGAGTGAGTTATGCTGACCTCCTTTCCATTGTAGGAAAGGGTATAAGTGTTGATGTCTCCCACTTTGGTCCACTGCAGAGTTATGCTGGTTTCATTTTGGTTGATATGTTCAAATCTTTCACTATCAGAAGGAGCTACACAATCAAGAAAGGTTTACAAAATAAAAATAAAAATAAGCAAAACATTATAACGAAAGTAAAAACAAAACTAATAGCGAAAAACACATTAGTAACAAAGTAAACCGCATTATTGTCACATTAATTCTATTAAGTTAAACCAATCACTGTTGTTGAGCAGTTATAGAATAGAATGGAAAATTATATTCTATTGTATTCTATTCTATACCTGCCAAACAAGAGTGATTGGTTTATTTTTTTTATTATTTTTTATTTATAAGTTAAACCAATCACTCTTGATGTGCAGTTAAGGCAGCAAGCAGTAAAACAAGTTAGAGAGGAAAATATGGAACAACAAAAAAAACATTTCAGTATCAGAAAGAGCTACACAAGAATGAGAAGATTATACTGTCTGATACTGCTTTATTTCTGTGAAAATCAATATTTCCTTCCTTCCTTTTTACAATTGCAAGAAAATTAAGAGAAAAATGTTTCCAAATGAAAAAATAAGTGATATGATTAAGCAGTTCTTTACTGTCAGCAAACATCACAGACAGATTTCACATGGTCTATGTTGTGTATAATATATATAATATCATGACATGACATGTAATTTAATAATTTTTAAATCAGCTTTCCTATCATGTATTATGTAATTGATTTTTATAGGTAGAAATAATTTTTTTAAATAATTGATTAAATATTTGTATCTTGTCCATGACTTTGCACATATTTATAATCAAATTAAAACAGCCTGATCTTGTGTTTGAACATTTAATTTATTGCATATCATAATTTTAAAAAACTCCTACTACTATAAAAATGGCTTTCTCAATTTACTTCTGTGAATTGAATTATTGTAGAACCCCACAGTGTTAGCATGAGAAAACATTTATGTAAAAATTATGTAAAAATGTATTAAAAACTTTAAATTTCTAGAAATCAGATGGGGAATAAAATCTCCTGAAAATCTTAAGAATTTCATAATCTGTAATATCTTAATATATATGAGCACAAAAGGATCACCTACCTGTCACAGCAGTGAATCCATATCCAGAGCTGCTGATTCCATTGAACACAGTATAAAGAATAAAACTGTATCTTGTCCCAGCAGTCAGACCAGAGACCACGTGGTTTACTACATCAGCATCAGTGCCAGTCACATCTTCAGGATCACTATCATTTATCTTCAGTTTGTATGTCTTGATGTTATTAACTTTTTCCCACTCTAAAGTTATACTTTTTTCATTCTGTCTCAACACATTTACCAGTCCTACATTCGGAGGGGGGGCTGTTAAAAAAGCAGATAATGTCATATAAGAGAAAGCATTTTTATTACTTTATTTTATTACTGAGCTATTATTTTTTCTTTTAAAAAGTAAAGATAAATCTGCAGTTCATACTAACCGGATGTTGTTTCCATGAATGTCAGTTCTGTCTTATTTGTTGTTTCTATTTCTAACATGTTATTACAGTCTGCTACAATCTGAAACATGATTAAAACTTTATCATTACACAATATATTATATTGCTTAAAAAATAACATCATGGTGCAATCTATCATTTAATATATACCTTAACATTTTTCCATAGCACATAGGATCATATGTTTGCTACAATCTAAACTACACCTACATGGTGTAACTTCGAAGCCCTGAAACATTTTGAGGTTGATATGCAGGAAACACAGAAATCATGAAGTCAAATTCAAACTATATATTCCAGATTCTTTAGTCAAAAGTCTCAGTGAACAACAGACACAGGCAACATTCTCAATAATCCTATAATACTTTAGAAAACATGAGTTAGATTGCTGTAATAAAATAAAATTAAAAGAAAACAAACCTTTTTATGTTATTTATGTCATTTATGCATTTATTTTTTCTTTTAAGCAAGCAGTAATAAATGACATCACCCCATTTGACACTGACTAATTTCTCACAATCTGAGAAAGTCCTTATTTCTGAGTTATAAAATGTTTTTTCTTGGTGCTGCTTTCTGTCTGTACTGACTTTTTAAGCAGCTCCTCTTTGGACTTCAGTACAGCAATGACTATTATGAGCTCGGCCTTAAATGTGGTTAAACATGTTTTTATAGTTTACGCTGAAATATAAAAAGCACTTACCCAAAGAAGGCTGAAAGAAACACACAGCAACAGGGATCCCAATGTGAATTTGAAGGATAAAAGCTTCATCTTTGTTATTGATTCCTAACCTACATAAACAATGGCGTATCAACACAACAATAGGATCATAAGCAACATTATCTGGGTGGGCCCCATATGAAGTACAACAGGTGATAAAGGTTCAGGATACGGCGACAGTTTAATAAATTGGCCAAGAAGAAACAATGAAACAATTCTCAGTAGATAAACCAAGACTGACTTCTAACAAGGTAATGCACCTTCTGTTGTACAAAATATGTCAAAGAAAGAGTTGTACTTACTGATACACTGAGGAAGAACTGTGGAGGCCAGGTTATTCTCAAGAGAAATCTCAAATGTTGCCCCGCACAGAGACACTTTTCTGCTCTCAGATAAACCTCAACTGCCTGCTTCTAGTCTGGCCCATTTGTTGACAAAAGTAAGACTTCCTTATCAACGCTTATTTACTAGTGTTTATAGCATTATATTGTCTGTAACAGTTCACAGTTCAGCTTGTGACTGGCTGGGCGCTTTTATCTATTAAGGAAATATTGAGGAAATCACAAAATTAAGGAAAACATGTTTTTCATGGATTTTATAAACATGGATTTTTTTTCTATACATCTTGTAAACAGAGATATTTTTCTTTTTAATTTTGTCACTTAAAATCACAGTTTGACTTGATTTTACCAAAGATTTTTTTCTGCTGTTTTATGCTCGGTCACAGTTTTATGACTTCCCTGTGATAAGAAGCTATAAGGAACTTCAATCCTTAAAATATGTCAAGTTGAACTGTGCTATCAGATGGACTTCATAAGTGTATTAAAACATGTTCCAGTTATCAATGTAACAACAGAGGTTTACGTTTAAAGACTCATTTCCTCAAGCAGTTTAAGTATTCACACAGTCTGTGAGAATAGGATGAACAAAACCAGAGAGGTTAATGCATAGACATGTTATTATAAAGCATGAAATACGATTTGTGAGAAAAGGTGCCCAGCACTGCCAATGAACAGACAGTGATGGACCTTAACCCAAATGCCAAGCATCTCTGGGAACTCCTTCAAGGACTATCTTCAGGTTCAGGTGACTACCTCTTGAAGCTCATCAAAAGAATCCCAAGAGCGTGCGAAGCAGTAATCAAAGCAAAAGGTGGCAATTTTGAAGAACCAAGAATATAAGACATATTTTCAGTTGTTTCACAATTTTTTGTTAAGTATATATTTCCACGTGTGTTAATTCATAGTTTTGATGCCTTCAGGGTGAGTATACAAAATAAAGAAAACTCTTTGAATGAGAAGGTGTGTCCAAAAGATTCTATTACATTATATGATACAAATCAGAATCAAATGTATTGGGCATAATCTTGTTTGAGTGCAAAAAAAAGTTATTTGACTATGTTTTTCCCATTGTTTATGCTGTAATCTACAGTCCAATCAGCATGTAAAATAAATCACAAGATGTTTGTATGGATATAAAGAAAAAGAGCAGCTTGTACAAATGTACGCCTTCTCTCTCATCTTATCTAAGAGGGATTGGTGATAAAGTACCCTTTTTCAGCCGGGATGTTAAAGGCTATCGTTTAAAGAAGGTATGCTTAATGTAAAAAAAACAACAACAAAAAAAAACCTTATCGGATCGCTAATTCAAACTATTGTAAATACCACTAAGAGCTTTTATATGTTCAGATTAGAGTTCTTCATTAATCATTTACAAAGAAATCATTCAGAAAGCCGTCCAAATATTTAATTAGAAATTCAAAAAATATTGTATCATATTCAAATGATGGGGTTAACAGAAGTGTTTCTTTGGGCTCCTGCACATATAGAGGTAAAAGGTAATGAAATGGCTGATAAGAAAGCTAAAGAGTCGATAAACAAAAGTTAGAGTGATATAAGAATTAACATGAGTAAATAAGAGGTTAAAAGCATTATTAAAAGAAAAATTCAAGAAAAATGGTAGAAACAGTGGGAAGAAGATATAAAGGGATGCTTTACAGAACACAAAGAAATGTTGGGGAAGTTTGATGGAAAATTGGGAGGAACAGAATAAAGGAAAGGATAACAACAAGACTACGGTTGAGACATATAGGACTTAATTCAACATTACAGTTTATGAGAAAACAGGAAACAGGAAGTTGCAATGTATATGGGGAATCCGAAAAGATAGAACATGTTATGTAATAACTGTAGGAAATATCAAAGACATAGAACATAGCTGATTAGCAGTCTTGAAAAGATTAAAGAGCAGTATTGTCTAATACATATTTTAAGGAAAAGCACTTATCAAGCACTTATTTATTGGTAACAGGCTTAGCGAAAAGAATACTTTTTTTTTTTTTTTTAGCATGTTTGTCCTGATCCACACTCCTTACTGGTTGGTGGCAGTAATGCGCCATATAGCTGTTTGCCAACCGTCAATAAATTCTAGAAGAAGAAGAACTATTGTAAATGAATGTTCATGGACAAGTGCGAACGCTAGAGGGCGGCAACGGTTTGTAATCAGCCGTAACCTTTAAAAGAAGAAGCTAGCTTGCTTTGTATTGTGAGGTAAACAAGACGCCAGCAAGTAAGTATTTTTTCAGCTCTAGAAAGAATAAAAGTATCGTCTTTATTTACGATAGTTTTGCCAGTTGTTAAACGAAAATACGCTTGTAATTCTTTTAGGGAACTATATGCTTAAAATATTCACAACAAACTGAATTAGCCTTTTGTTTGTGCTAACGTTGATAGCTTGAGCTACTGTCTAGAGTTGCTTCAAATGTTGATTTAGTATAATGTTAATTTTATGTTATTTTAAACTCCCACTTGTAAGTTTGAAAGTAGAGTGCGTTAGCCTAGTCTAGCTCAAAAGGACAGTTAGCAGTGTATGCTAACGTTACGTCATTGCTAAAATCGTTATCAATCAAGCACACATGATTCCTGTTGGGTGGGAGCATCACAGAGAGCCTTTAAATACTGATGCTGTCAAAGCCTGGTCAACTGGCTTCAGGTAGAAACGGACCAGACGTTTAGGTAAACCTATTCATTTTCACATAGAGACTAAGAAATTTTTACAGAAAAATATTACTTAAATCATTCTGTCTTGTTTGTTTTTATTATAGTGTTTAACCAGTTGTTTTGGGTTTTACATAACACAAGGTCGCTTTTTCTTTTGCTTGTCTTTTAGAAATGCAGACTGCCGTGAAACAAAACTATCATGCGGAGACTGAAGGAGACATCAACAAGCTCATCAATCTGAAACTCACTGCTTCTTACACCTACCTTGCCCTGGTAAGTCTATTTTACTCTTAACTGTTAAAATAACTTATTAATTTAACCCTTTTGCTGACTCATTGGATTTAATTCTGTTTTCTGTGCCATAATCACGAATATTTCTTTCTTTGTATTTCAGGGCATGTATTTTGACAGGGATGATGTTGCCTTGCCACACTTCTCCAAGTTTTTCCTGGAGCGCTCTGTGAAGGAGAGAGAACAGGCTGAGAAGCTGCTGGAATACCAGAACACCAGAGGGGGTCGGATCCTGCTTCAGACCATCGCTGTAAGTATTGAAGAGTTTTATTGATTCCACAAAACCTGAGTTGTATCAAGTTCCACCATCAGGCGGTTTTCCCACCCATCTGCAATGCGGTGAAGTTATTGGCTTCAGAACAGGCGTTTAACCTTGGGCCGGTTTGAAGTACAGCTCAAATGTTATGCATACTGAAATGTCATAAGCTATTTTTTTTTAAATGAACAGTTAATGGTAAATAAAGGGGGAGGGGGCATTGAATAACAATAGCTTACTTCAGATTGGCAGTTAGTAGATTAAACATTTTTAAAAGGTAAAATGACTGGTGTTTCGGGTAGATGTGGTCATTTAATTAAACAAGGTATAAAGTTTAAATTTAACCTGCACTCAATTTGGAAAAAAGGCTAATTTTAATATATACTTTATTTTTTTTTGCAACAAGGATTCTAGTCTGGAACATAACTTGAAAGCAAAAGTTATAATATTGCCATAAAATGCTTTGTAAGAGCAAGTTTTGGGAGGTCAAATGTGATTAAAGAGCTGAAGTTGATATACTGGGCTGTAGAAGCGTTTTTGTTTTAATGTCCTATCTGTTTTCTAGAAACCAACTAGAGAGGACTGGACTGGAGGTCTGGATGCTTTGACCTTTTCCCTGAAATACCAGAAGTCCCTGAACACTTGTATCCTTGATGTGCATGGCAGAGCTGGTAGCCACAATGACCCACATGTGAGTTTAGCTCTGATTTTTAACAAAAACGTATTCTATTTTTGTTTTTTGCATCACATTTTAATTTCTTTTCCAGCTGTGTGACTTCCTGGAGCAGGAATTTCTCATCGACAGCCACGATACCATCAAAAAGCTAGGCGACTACATTGGCAGTCTGACCCGCCTTACTTCATCTGAACCTCATGGATCCATGGGAGAATACCTGTTTGATAGACACACTCTAAAAGATTAAACTACTCCATCCATGGTTTCACGTTTACAAAAATGAACAAACAGGTCAAAGCTGCATTTATTTCTGTAAAAGAAAACTTGACAATATTTGCACATTTAACCCTAAACTCCTTTCTTTTGTAGCAAAACTTCAAGAATAGGTCAAATGTTAACTGGAATAAACACAGCCTTTCTAAAATAACTTTTAAAGATGTTCTCATGATTTTGTAGCAGAGTGCCGTGATGATATGCTGTTACTTTGAAATGACTCACATTTGAGCCGTACCATGTCTCATACATTCCTAGGTTCTGTGTGTCTCTTTTTGCTTAAATGGAAATCATTTTGATTCAAACAAAAAAAGGTGTTTTAATATCTGGAAATGTATTGGAAACAATAAATAAAGTCCAATTATGTATAATAAACATTTTGGTGCTGTTTTTTTCCCTTCGGATTTTTCATGCAGTCTGAGGACTGGTTCAGTCATGTCTGTTCTGGTCAGATTTTGCTTACTCATGGTGTCTGTGGAGTAGGACATAAATTATACGATGGTTTGTGGCTGAAATTCTGACTAAGTTATAATGATATGGTTGCTGAAGCAGCTTTGAATAAGTACAGTTGGTTTTAAAAATGACACTTTGTGATGTGAAAACAATGATTACCTGAAAAAAGGTTGAGCTGTAAGGTAAAATTCAACATGTATAGATGAGCTGGGAAATAAACACTTAATTGAAGCAACTCTGGATTAAATTTCAGCTTTTTAGTTGAAACTGCCAATAATCTGATCTGTTCAGCTCTCAACCTATAAGGTTTTCTTCAAATTTTTTTTCCTTTAAGTTTGTAGATGTGTTTGAAAGTTTCACCCCTTTGTTACACAAAGCATTGGACCTTTTTCTACAACTTAAGCAATCTAACTGGTCAGGAAGCTTGTTAAAAGGAAATGCAAGAGTGTTTATATGGGATCTGGTTGTGAAAAGGAAAATCATGCAGATTTTTCTGAATACCTTGTTAATGATTTGATCAAACCAAAATGTAGGGGGTTTTTTGGCCTTTAATCGGAGCAATGAAAAACTACAGTAAAACAGAGTATCAAGTGAACCGATTGAAAAATCAATCAAGATGGCTGAAGATGCAGTATGAAATACCAGTGTTTAACTGAAATGAATCTAGTTTGGTGTGTAAAAGTGAAGTTTGCATGTCAGCACTTCTTGGGATTACACTTTGGTAAAATGAACAGAAGAAAAGCAACAACTGAAAGTTGTTTATAGATTAACAGCTATGCTGAGGGGATTAGAGAAGGGCTGGATGCACAATCTCTTCAGTCTGATGAGTAAACAAACACTGCCATTAATACTGCAGTAACTTCACTACATTAAGAATTTTCATTGGTTTTATTCTTTGGTTTATATCAGAGCACCAGTAGTAAAAAAGAAATACCTGTTTTTATACAGTATGCAACAGATGCGTCGTCAGCCTTCTTATATCAGGAGGAGGGGGGTGGGGGATTAAATGATAACACTGCTCTAGTGATTTGTCAGTACTTTGATGGAATGGGTTTCAGGAAGCTTGCCAGCCAGGGACAGCAATAGGAGAGGTCTGATTGGAGTCTGAGGGCTCCGACGAGCCAAAGTGGATGTGAAAAGGAAAACATCTAAAACTAAAAGTCTTTCCAAATCTGTTCTCCACATAGAGAGAAATCAGGGAAGCCAACAGCAGGTAAGAGAAAAATTAAATCAATATTTTGGTCTTAATAAAAAGGGATCAGTGAGGAAAAATTACATTTGTTTCATAACATTGTGCACAAATCAAATACAAGAGTACGTAATCCTGGTTGTGCTTTATTTCAAAAATAATAAACGGATGTCTGCAACAAAAAATATATGTTGACTTTTGAATTAATAACTATTTGTTTTTTTTTTTACTTTTACTTTTTTTGCGGATTTTGTTTTTTTAATGTTGGGGACATAAACCAAAATTAAATTACATTACATTATTTCACATCACTTCTTTCATCCATCCATCTATTGTTGCATCTCAAATGCTGCTGTAGGCTTTATATAGATGACGCAGTTTTTGGCTGTATAAGAAAAAAGTCATTCCACATCTTTTTCAATTTTTGTATTCATTTAATTTTTTCATTGGTTTCCTAGATCCCCATGTATAATGTAGAAGACTAACTGTAAATTGCAAATGCAATAAGTCTTACTTATCACACAACTATTTAAATCTCTAAATATTTTTTTATTTCCTTTTTTATAAATAATTTGCTTCAGTGGATTATAATCATTTTGCTTAACAATTATCAGTAATGAAAATATGTCTAATCACTTTATAACATGGAAAAATAGTCTGTGTCATTACATAATACCTAAACTTTATGTACATGCCTGTAAAAAGCCATCAAAAAACAAGCTTTAAGATGAAAGAGGAAATAAAAAGGATGAAAACAGGTAATATAAGATTTAAAAAAAAATTAAAGATAACATCTTCTGTTTCAAGAGAATTTTTCGTTTCCAGAGAATTGTGGATTATTATTGCACAGCCAGATTTTAATCCAGCACAGCAGAGAGCATGATCAAGGGAAAAATGGGGTTGGGATGAACATGGGAATGAAAGCCTGGGTTATGGGATGAAGGAGATGACAGACAGTATGCGAGTAACAGAGGGATTAAGGTCAGCCATGTTGAGCATCTGGCTTAAGAGATGTCCTATGCTCCTGGTCCTTACAGCAACACATGATCAGAGGGATTACATAGCATACATGCAAAAATGTGTCACAGCTCACTGAAGAGCCAACTACAGAGGGACAGCTAACAGACTGAACCAAGAATACTGGCTGCACTGACTTTACTGTTTTCACAGCTGAGATGAGGCTGGTCAGTGGCGGGCTCCGGGCCCGAAGGGCCGCTGAGCCGTCCGAACCAGAATCTGAGGAAACAACGGAGCCGTCCCATCATGAGCACGTTCATCCAGAACACCATCATGAACACATGCATCCAGAACATCATCCAGGACATGACTACAACCACATGAAGGAGAAGTTCATGAATGAGCTCCATCACCTACCAAGTAGGACACAGACACAAACAAGATCTATTCCTCTGCTGGAATAAACTGATTAATAGTCTCACTTCTGACTAATTCTTTAAAATAAAAACTTTCTGTTTAATAGAACTGCAAAATGACATTTTAATATTGTTTTAAGGTTTTCTAATTTTTTTTTATTTTGCCACTATAAACATCAGTGCAATAGGACTTAGCGGATTGGAGAAAACTAAAACTGAACCTTTAGGCCACACATCCAAAACCCTTTCTGTAGAAAAAATATAAATAAAAATAGAAAAGCAGCCCTGCTGCAGCTTATCATGCTGTGGGATTTTATTTTCACCAGAACAAGGAAATACTATTAAGGATCGATTTGAGCAGGAAACAGAAAAACATTTCAGGCTGTTACATCTGATTGATCAAAGCATGATATGTGTTTAGAACGGCCCAGACAAAGTAGAGACAGATAACCAAATAAGAGTAGAATTGTAGGATCTAATATTCTCAGATGTTCTCCATCCTCTCTGACTTTCTTTAGTAGCAATGCATAGCCGCACTGCAAAAGCAATCCAGAAATAAGTAAATATTTCTTAGATTAAGTGTATTAAACTATAATTTCAGTAGGTAAATAAGGTGATTTGGCAAGAGAATGAATATTTTTACTCTTAAAATAAGGTAATTAGGTAATATTCACTTGAAATAAGACAATGAAATAATTTTTTCATATTTTAAATGTAAATTGTCTTGTTCTATTGGTGACGTGTCTCACTTAGCTCCTCAATTTAAGGGAAAAAAATACCCTTATTTTAAGAAGAAATTATTTATTTAAATTTGCATTTGAAGTGTTTTAGAGATGTATTTTAGAACATCTAAAAATCTAACTGTAACCATAGGTCATGCTACTAGAAAATGCCTCAGAAGCTGACTACGAAGCATGATGCACATGTTATAGCTTTATATGTAACTGAATTTTGAAATTTCATCTAATTATTCTATATGGTTATTTGTTTTTTTTTTTGTTTTTTTGTTTTTTTGCATTGGCCAGTCTAACAAAATTCAGAACAAACACAAAAAAACTGTAAAAATTTAAAAAGTTTAAGGGGCATGCAATCTTTGCATTAAACACAGCTTTTTTATGAAATAGTGTTTTGAAGAGTATTCTGCTAAAAAAAAAAAAACAGTAAATCCAAAAAACACAAAATAAAATCCAGTGGGACTTTGTTTCCAAGTCTGAAGATGTTTCGCTTCCCATCTAGGAAGCTTTTTCAATTCAAAATATCAGAAATAGCGTTGAGTTCAAGGTATTTAGAGTGGACCAAAAACAAAGTCTTGTTTTGCCTTAGAAAAACAGTAAAGCCTTAGATTGCAGTGGTAAAGAGCTGAGTTATACTTATTAGGCTCATACAGAGGCACTCCCAGCTGGAGGAGTGTTATTATTATCTGATTGTGGAGAAGGGTGTTAACAAACTAAACACACGCTCAACAAACCCTCTACAGATAACTGCATGCTTTTACAATCCTTAAGAATGAGACAAAAGCTTTTAGCTTAATTTCTTTCCTCCAAAAACATATATTTTATATATCACAAAGCAACATGTCTTAAAAAAGCAACTCAAATTCCTTAAACTGATTTTTATTAGAACTGCAGTCTGCTTGCATGTTGTAAATATGGGATGAATTCATCCCCCCCTGTTTTGCAGTTCCAATGTGGGCAGTGGGAGCCATTGTTGTGCTGGTCCTGGCTTTAGTGGCATGCTTCATTTTCTGTGTTTTCAAAAAATGCTTTGCAAAGAAGAAAAAGCCGAAGAAAGTGAGGGAGAGGAAGGCTGGGGGTCGCCGCAGAAAGGAGAAGGATGGTGATGGAGAGTCAGGAGAAAAGGTTGGTTTACTGATGTTAGGCTGTTGATATTTTACTTGGTAAACTGCTTTGTGATCAATCTTGTCTCATGTTTTATGTTGCAGGAAGGAGATGGGAAAAAGGATGGAGAAGAGGAAGAGAAAGAACAGGAGAAGTTGGGCAAGTTGGAGTTCTCCTTGGATTACAATTTCACAGATTGTCAGGTAGGCACTGCATGTAAACAGATGGATCCATTAAAAATACTTTATATTTGCGATGAGAACACAAAGATTCATTAACAGATAGTTTTCCACTGTAACTTCATACTAAACATGTTTTTTTCTTTCTTTTAAAGCTCATAGTGGGCATCCTTCAGGCTCAGGACCTTGCTGCAATGGACATGGGGGGGACTTCAGACCCCTATGTCAAAGTTTTTCTGCTTCCTGACAAAAAGAAGAAATATGAGACCAAAGTTCAGCGTAAAAACCTGAGCCCTGTTTTCAACGAGACTTTTATTTTCAAGGTACCTCAACACAGACCACATTTTATCGATAAAGTTCCTTCTGCTGTTATATTATATTCATAACTTATTGCAGGACTGATGTGGGTGAAGATTTTCCTATCCTAGTAATGTTAATGTAGCTTAACTTCGTCACTTGTTGTGTGCAAACAATCATCTGCTTTCCTCTATTTCAAATCAAGTTTTAACATTGTTCCTTCTTAGATCCCGTACGCGGAGTTGGGCGGAAAAATTTTGATTCTGCAGGTTTTCGACTTTGATCGTTTCTCCAAACACGACATGATCGGTGAAATAAAGATTCCCATGAGCAGCGTTGATCTGGGCCAGCCCATGCAACAATGGAGGGACTTAGAAAGCGGGGAGAAGGAAGAGGTACAGTGGAGTGTTTGTGAGAACAGTATTATCAACTATTCAGATAAATGTTTACTGTTATGTTTGATATAGATGAGGCCTAAAACAGGCTTAACTTTCATGAGACTTTGGTTGCAGGCTTTTTTTATTTTATACCAAAATTATCAGATATATATATATATATATATATATATATATATATATATATATGGCTTTTATGCTGTAAGAATAATCTGATTGAGGGTTTAATACGTTAACTTTTGAAAAATTTATATAGCCTCCATACCAAGAGGCCCGTGGCAACTAAAGTCTTGTAATTTAAATCAGGAAAAATATGTGGGCTGTTCCTTTAAACACTATTTCCACAAATTCTGACAATTTTTTTCTGTCTTCAGGAAAAATTGGGAGACATATGCATTTCCTTGCGCTATGTACCCACTGCTGGAAAACTGACTGTAAACATCATGGAGGCAAAAAATCTCAAGAAAATGGATGTTGGTGGTTTATCAGGTAACAAAACGCCTAATTTTCCTCCATTTTGACAATATTGTCAATATTCTCTCACTTTGTAGCCTGGAGGGGAACTGCAAACCCCAAAATGATATACTATATAATGCTCCCTCTTTTTTTAGATCCTTATGTGAAGATCGTTCTGCAACAAAATGGGAAGCGGATTAAGAAAAAGAAAACAACAGTAAAGAAAAACACCCTCAATCCCTACTTTAATGAAAGCTTCAGCTTTGAAGTCCCCTTTGAACAAATACAGGTGGGCTTTGCCTTATTGCTTTCTTTACAGTGTTTCTCATCTTAAAGAGGAAAGATAGGATTTCATTATTTTATCTTTATTTTTCCAGAAAGTGCAGGTTGTCATCACAGTGTACGACTATGACAAACTTGGAAGCAATGACCCCATAGGGAAGACCTTTATGGGCTATGGAGCTACAGGTGTCGGCTTGCGCCACTGGTCGGACATGCTTGCCAATCCTCGACGTCCAGTAGCCCAGTGGCACACCCTCATGCCTGAGGAAGAGGTGGACGCAGCACTTAAAGCTAAACCTCGTTAAGAGCAGGACCTGATCCAGCACTGAGTCCATCTGGGAGGTTTGGGGGGTTTTAAAGTAGTTTTTGTTCAGTTTTTCATGTTTTCTTTCACGGCCCTATGAATAAAAGCACCAGAGAACCCGTCTCCTCAGGGTAGAACTTGATTGGACGTGAGCTTTTCCTCTTAGGGACTTTTGGACCCAAATCATTGCTGAATCCCTTTTTTTGTTTGTTTGTAACTCGTCTTTACTTTGTATTTCTATGTGCCTGTGTACAATACAGATCATGTTGGTTTGGCTTTCTATGTTTCCTTTAAATTTTAAAATCTGAGTTTCAATATTTGGAAAACCTACTTAGAAATAATATTCAGAATCTGTGAAACTCTTTATATATATTAAAATATTTGCTAATTCTTGTGCTTTTCTGTAATAAATTCCTTCTCTATCAAAATAAAGAAGTTTTGACAGTTTTACAAAATCACTTCTTCCCTTTTAGATAGATCAGCACCAGTCCAAGGTATAAGCAAACTTAGAAAATGCTGATGAAAAACATTATTACCATCGAGTAAGTGGAGAGATGTGCAATTTGTAAAAGGAAAGCAACTAAGAAAATCCTTTATACTGTAACTTGAGGGTTTGGTAAGACGGGGTCAATGGTTAGAGCTGTTTAATCACACATGCTTGTGTCTGAACTTTTCATGTACAATTTAAGTGTTTGTAAATAAAAGTACACACAACAGTCTTTTTCTGTTTTTTCCTTAAAAGTCACAGCCGAACCTTATAATGTTAAAATGTTTTAAATACTTTCAAACTGGACTGTTTTATTACAATTATGTCATAATATGTATTTCATCTGAGTTAAATGAAGCCTCTTATTCTGGAAATTATTCAAGTAAACTATTAGATGTTATCAGTTTTCACCTAACCCTGCACTTTCCTTATCCATTTCACTATGCTTGTTAATAAATTACATAAAATATGAGTTTTAATTAACTCAAGTTTCTTTAAATATTTCCATTACATCATCTTAAGGTACCTTACAAAAGAAAAACAAGCAATTCTATTCAATCCTATGATACAAAGTTAAATAAATTCAAATTCAATACTAATTATCAAACTGGAAAGCATCTCATCTCTTTAAAAGTAAACCCCACAGATTGTACAAAGTCCATGACTTTAAAAATATCTATCCTCCTGGAAGAGCATAAAGTGACAGAAGACCATTGACTTCCCAGCAATGCCTCATACTGATCATGCATGTAGCAACAGTGGGAAGTAAAATTCCCCTTTGACAGGAAGACTCAATGAGAATGGCCATATGCCCCGACTGACTTGGATATTGGGAGACTGAACAATATTACAAAAAATAAACAAAGCAGGAAAGACCTATAGTAGGTTCTTAGTTAAGGAAAGAGTATGATGGAGGTATAGTGGCTTCATCTAGGACATACAGATATGACACAAAAATGATATTACCAAAACCAAAAATGTATCCTTAAAAGTAGGATAAAAAAATTGTAATTATCCAGTCTGATTATTTTTAACCTGTGTTTTCTTTCAGGAAAGCCTAATAAAATAATAGGGGAAATTGAACAATAACAAAGAATTATATATTCAAATTAAAATATTTCTTGAGACTACTGTAATGTATTGCCAAATAAGTAAATAAACTATTTATAGCACCTTTAACAGATAGATTGCAATGTGATTTGCAGAAATTGGATAAAATAGAGCACAAATATAGATGTAGTGTATTAACATAGACCAACTAATTCAAATATTTCCAGGCTGTAAAATTTAATTTGTGATTTGTTGACTGCAAAATCAGGCTGAATGGAGAACGTGGCCTCTATATATGTATCTACTGAGGCCCCCTCCCTTCAGCCTTCGGATGGGGCTCTCCTAACAGTGATTCACCATCTCACCGCTAGGTGGCTCCCTACTATGGACAGCGTTGCCTAGCAACTGAACTCAAACTTTTTGCCAGGATTTCAACATCCCCGCTGCTGTTTATCCACCTTGCATGAGGTTAGTGTTTAACCTATCTTTTGCGGACTTTATCGCTCTTTTGAAACCTGTCATTTCTAGCCTAAAACTGAAGTATATGTTTTGTCTGCGTTATTGGTAGCAAAGTAACATCGACTGAAGAGCAACATGTTCGGGCTCTTGGTGAAGCCCAAACATAAGGACTGATGTTTCCCTGTTTCTGTTCAGATTACAGGATGAGTGCGGGTCGGGTGTCTGAAGGAGCCGGTTGTATTACCTGGTGGGGCTTCAGTCCAGCCAGAAATTTGCTCAGTTTTGGTAAGAAGCTGCAGATGTTTTCATATTTGGATCATAAACTGCACGTGCGTTTCCGATTGGTTTAAAGCGGCACGCGCCAGCCAATTAGTGGATCAGAAGGCTCCCAAATCAACAATACTGGGTATTTTTTTAGGGGTTTCTTTGCAACTAAAAATTAACAATAAAAATAATAAAATTCATATTTGTCAGCGCACAGTCATGTTTTACAAATTATTAAAAAAATAATCTGAAGGGATTAGCAGCTGATATTTAATGCATTCTAATTAAATACGTTTTTAATTGACGTTTAGCAATACAATAATTAACAGAAGTAAAAAAAACAATCCTGATTACCCACATATTATACAAATAAATAATAAATATATAATTATGGCAGAAATTATACCTCTTTAAGATTTCCATTTTTCAAATGTGAATCAAAGCTCTATCCATGCATACCACCTTGCAGCATCATGCTGTTTTAGGTCATGAGGGTACACCTTGGATGTGTTAATGCAGAAAACTGAAACGCTTTTCTTTACGATCAAAGCTGATTTTTACCAGTATATCCCGAAAAGGCTACAATTATGAGTACAATAAATATGTGTTCTGTTTTAAGAACAATCTTATTCTGGGCTTTTGGTAAAATTAGTTTTGATTAATTTAATTGTGAGCAACAATCAGCTCCAGAACTGAAACCATGTTTTTCTTTTAAAAATAAAATCTAACAATGATTTATTTAAACATACTTATTGTAACTTCACCCCACCTTTCCAATAAGCATACAGTCTGGATTTCTTAAAAATTCTTTAGTCTGTTCTGGATGCTAATTTATTATAACTGTGTCTAAACAGTTTTTGCCTTTTTTTTTTTACCCATGTCAAATATTTATTCATCTCATTATAAAACACCTATGCTAACTGAATGCAAGTAGGCAAGTGAAATTTCACCTCTGTAGCACCTTTCACAGACCTATACGTCACAAAGGACTTCAAAAGGGCAAAGCCATTAGAAAACACATTTTACATTTAGAATATATTGACAATGTGTATGTTTAACATGGTGTAGGCAAAATTGTGAGTTAATAATAACTCATAATAAAGTCCATTATTGTCCCTCAGTAGGGAAATTCAGCTGAACAAGCAGCAAATTGAAAAGCAAGTGAAAGCATGCAGAATCCCAAAGGTAATATATGACAGCAATTAGAGTAGGAGCAAATTTAAAACATGAGGAAGAAAATGAATCTATTAAAAGAAATATCCTCAGATTCATTAACAGCAGAGTAAAATTAAAATTTTGTATGTTCCTTTTCAAGATCATATTTTCTTGATAATACAAAACCCCCCGAATGCTTGCACTTAAAAAACACTCTACAAAGACAACGGAACAACAGCAGGTATGTAAACAGCTTATTGAACTTGTTGGGAGCAATGGCTATAAAGTCTAATAGCTGCTGGGAGGAAGGATCTGTGAGGATGCTCCTTTGTGCACCTTAGATGAAGCATTCTGGTGCTGAAGGAGATCTGTAGTTCGAGAGACACTGTCTCATTGTGTTGCTTTTTGTTAAAAGCTCTTTTGTGCCCTACCATCTCTTTTGGACAGGGAATTAGACCCTAGACCCTAGTTAGATTTTAACCTCTAAAGCACAGAGGGTCTCAGGACCAAAGTCTGCCTGAAATTACATATTTGAATTAAAGCAAGTACAGCTCCAAAACTATAAACTGGAAATATAATTGTTTGTATTTTAATAATAGAAAGGCATTGAGGAATGCTTTTCAGATGGAATCACTATTTTAAATGTCACCATGTCTGATTTATAGGTGATTAAACAAAGAAAAAATGAAAAATATTTAGCCTCGCCAAATTTTTTTTTCAAAATAAACACAACAAAACACACTGAAACCCCATATGAAACTCTAGATGAACCCTCAGACTTTATAGATCCACATCTTGAATACAACTCAAGCAAATTTGGACTGAATAAGTTTTAGTTGGCAGTGTGCTAGGTGGAAATGGGATTTTTGGCATAGTGCAAAAAATGCATTTTGCCACTCATAAAAGGGAATCTGGCCAGACAAACATGCTGATTTACATAATTGGAGACCTTCTGCAAAAGCAAAGCCTTTGCTCCTAAGATATCACCAAACTAAATAGAAAATAAGAATAACAGAGCAATGATATCACCAAACTACATAGAAAATAAGAATAACAGAGCAAGCTTATGTAACGTATGCGATCACATCACCTGAAATAGTTGCACAATTAGCTCTCACCCCTCATTGGAAGGGTTTGAGCCTCTACTGTAGTTTCCAATGATGTTTCCATTAGGGGGTGCAGATAAATATCTGCTGTTGCCTTACCTTCGCAGAGTTACATGTCAGGTGGAATTTTAGATCTCATTTTATTTTTTTTACAGCTATAAAACAAAAAGTACTTGTAAAAAATTATTTTGAAACATGTTTTAGGAATTTTAAAGCCCCATTGGAAAAGGCATGTGGACAAAATACCATGTCGCTGTGTTTTGGCCATTTTTATAAATAGATAAACATGATGACCTTTGTGTTTAGTACTGGATGCTGAAAAGTGTTATATGTGATGTTTGTGTCCAGGTCCAGAGAAGTCTGAAGGAGAAATAAATGTACTGTTAGTTGGCAGTGGGGATCCAAGACATATTCTGAAGACTATTGCAGATTCTTCAGCAAAACAAAAACTTCATGTGAGCAGTAATTTAATTTCTGTCTTTAAACACAGACAAGTGGTGGGTAAATGCAGCAAGAGTTACACATGGTCTCTGTTCTGTAGATATGGGTGATGGAACAAAGCATGGAAGTCGTGGCTCGGCAGCTGCTGCTTCTCTACATTACACTTATACCAAAGGAAACGATGGGAATTAACGGTACATTTTGCTTTGATGAATTTATCATTTTATAAAAGCAACATGCTTCTAAAACTTTTTCGATTCGTTTTTGGGGGTTTTTCCAGAGAAGACAGAAGTTTTCTTGGAGCTTTT